GAGGGTGGCCCGCCCCGTCCCCGCCACCCCGCCACGCCTCTCACCCTCTATAAAGATTCAAGTTCGACCAAGTCCTGTTAATTTAATCATTTTTTAATAAAGCCATCGTTACTGAGTACACCAAGATTGCCAGTTAAGCTCTCTATATGTCGCTGGAGGTAACAGCGCTGTGATCGACAGCGGAACGGAAAAAAAGAAGAAAAAAACAAAAATAAGAAGAAACCAAATGAAAAAAACAAACCCCAACCGAAACGAGGTAGGTTAAAACCAGCAACACAGACCTTGTTATGCGACACCCCAACACCACAGGCGGCCATGCTTGCAGCTACTGAGAAAGAAAACCCCAGGTACGCACCGAAAACGGAAATCAACGGAGCAGAGTTTATAAGGACACGATTCAACCTGAACTAAACACACACACACGGTTCGGCACAGATGTTGTCTTTCACTGTATGTTGGGTAATTCCTAGGGAGCGGAGGGGAAAACGAGTAGAGATTCACACCCTCAGCCGAAGAAACCACACATATATGTATTTTTTTTAAGCTCTTTACAAGCCCGTTCCAGCAGCGCGGGGGACGGGCAGCTCGTTTCGGCGTCCCCGTCCCCACTCCAAAAAAAAAGCATCCCAGGAGCCGTCTGCGGCCGCAAATCCCACCTCGGGGCGAGCACAGGGCTCCTCCGGCCGCTCCGCTGACCTCTCCTCCTGCGATCCCCCGGCCCGGCGCCTGCGGCCAAGCCCCGGAGCAGGCGGGCACCTCCGGAGTAACAACAAATGGCACCTCTGTCCCTATCAAGACACACCATTATGTGAAGATCCATATAGAGATATGGATTGACAGACTTGACAAAAATGGTAGCTGATTTTTATTAGTCTAAGGCTAGTAGTTTAGCCATTTAAAACCCATTTCCCAAAAGAGGGGAAAAAAAACCCTATTATTTGTTTCTCTTCTTTAAAAATCCGTTAAGCCGTTGCTGCCAAAAGCAACATGTAAATGTTGGTGAAGGCAAAAGATTTCTAAAATTACCCAGCTATACGGTTATGGCCTTCATCACAAAGATAAAAGGTACATTTATTGTGCTGTCTCTCACCAGATTTAATTGGTAACTTTACAACATACTATATATTTGATGCTAGCAGGCAGACAGAATTAAAAACAGACTTTTTGACACTGTTTCTCTGCCCTTTCTTACAAAGTAGGGGACAAAGAAAAAGGAAAATAAAAAAAAAATAAAATTAAAATAAAATAAAGGAAATCTCATAACCCACTATAACACAGCGTAATCAGGAGACCTCGGGGGGTCCAAGCGCGAAAGTCCATCCCTGCCCGCAGCCCCTGCCCCGGGGCTGACGGCGCCGGGGGAGCGTGGGGAGCCGTGTTCCTCGGGGCCCTCCGCACCTGCCTCTACAGTGTTAGTCCACGTCTTTAATGTCCTTTAAATTAGAAATAATGCCATGGCGGTGAGCGCCAAGTGCTCCTCTGTTACCAGTTCATCATGGAGTTTCTGTTCAGGGTCATGAAAAACACTTGGCTGCTTCCTCCGGATCTCACCGATGCAAAAAACACCTGTTTGGAAGCAAAAAAGAAAAACCAACCTTGTTACTAATTTTTATTATTGTAAGAAAAAGCCTGTTAATTGTCTCGGTGAGCGAGGAAAGTGGAAGCTGCCCCACACCCCACGGTCTCCTCTGCCTAAACCCCCCCCTGCTCCTTCTCTCCAGCTGACAGCAGCACCTTTACGTGGCCCCATCACCTGGTTCCCAGTTTTTTGCGGAGCTCGGGGGCCGGAGCTGACCCGTGTCAGACTCAGATCCAGTCGAACCACTGACTAGTAAACACAGTAATAAAACCTTCCTCGCTATCGCCACCAAGAGAGCAAGGTTTGGAATGCCTTAAAAATACCAAGTTTATCACATTTTACTGCCACGGCACCATTTATTATGCAATATTAAATAAAGACTGCTGCCAGGGGTTTGGGTCTTGCTAACTGTTAACCATTTGGGTCCATATCTGCCTCGGTTCGATATGGTTTGCTCCGGAAAAGTTCATCCCGGTATTTCAGCTGTTTCTGAAAGTAAAGCTCGGGAAAACTACTTTCCTTCTGTATCCTTTCAGTGCACAGAAACCTGTCAGGCCTCAGTACGAAGAATACGATTTTTGGTGCTTCTGTCAGGATCCACCAACCTCTGACTGCAACGGAAGTCTTAAAAAATAACTTATAATTTGCAAATACTGACGGGGACAATCTGAAGCTTCTGTCCTTTCTAAAACCAAAAATTATTCCACCTTCACGTGACTTTAATTGTTCACCATTTCTCCAGAAAGAGAAACATCTGGTTTTAGTATTTCAAACCCGCCAGTGGTCAGCTGGTTCCAGTATTTTAGAAAGAGTGAGGTGGGTCTTTTTCCCGCTTCCTAAGAAAAGTAGAAGAAAAAAACCACACCCCAATAGGAGCAAACCAGAAAAAGAACTCTTTAAAAAACCAGTATAAAACCTGCAGAGTCGAGTACTCGAAGGTTAGGGAAAAAGCACACTAGGGGTATTTGGGCAGCTTCCCACGGTCCACTCAGTTGCAAGGTGAGTTGCACCCATGGCCGGGGTCACCTACCCGACAGCCGCCCTCCCCATGCAACTCTGGTGCCCCTCCAGAGCTGTACTTATCAGTGCTGTCCACAGTAAAAGATGGGGTTCCATGCAGAAAATAGTTCTAAGATCACAAAACTAAAAATGCATCAAAATGTTTCTGCACCAGAGCTCAAATCGGGGTCGCTTACACATCCTTAGTGGTACCGAGTTTACCTGGCAGCCACAACAGTCAATGTTCAGATGCAAGACGTGGGAGAAAGTCAAGCCGAGTCAACGCAGAGCTCAGCCTGAGGTAGAAGAGATCTTGCAGATCCTCCCACCAAAGGCTGAGGTCTGCATCCACTGGAGAGAATTAACTGGGAGGGGGTTTATGGGCACTGCTTGTTAAGCAGGACCTTCAGATTAATTATCAACCTCAAGATAAACCAGACCAAGTCTAAAAGAAGGTGGCTGTAGCTTAAAGCATGGATCCAGGCGTTGAAGTGGACTTACCTTATCATTCCTTTCACATAGAAACTTTAACCTTTGAGCTCGCTTGTGCATAAATACTCCGTCCAAATGTCCCGTCTCCACTGACCGGATTTCGATAGCCTTCTCTCCCCAGCCCATTATTTGATTGGAATGAATGTAAGCTGTCAAAATGAAGCATTTGGTAGGTGTTACAACGTGTGTTGAGCTAAATATTACGCAGCGGGCAGAAAAGCTCTCATCAGCAAAGCCTGGGCAGATCAACGGCAGAGCTCTGACTGCCGGAGGCACGGGCGGCCAGGCGCGTGCCCGCAGCGATAATCACCTCTGCACAGCACTTGCCATCCAGAAATTGCTGAGTAATTTAAACAGAAGAAGTATCGCTTCTTCCGACTTCTGCGGGTCAGGAGCTGGGCAGCGGCTTGCCTCTGCAGGTCGTGGAGCTGAGCAACAGCCAAGCCAGAGAAGCAACCAAGAATCCCAGAATCACAGCATGGTAGGGGTTGGCAGAGACCTCTGTGGGTCACCCAGTCCAACCCCCCTGTCAAAGCAGGGTCACCCAGAGCAGGCTGCACAGGACCTTGTCCAGGCAGGTCTTGGATATCTCCAGAGAAGGAGACTCCACAGCCTCCCTGGGCAGCCTGGGCCAGGGCTCCGTCACCCTCAGAGGGAAGAAGTTCTTCCTCATGTTCAGATGGAACTTCCTGTGCTTCAGTTTGTGCCCGTTGCCCCTCGTCCTGTCGCTGGGCACCACTGAAAAGAGTCTGGCCCCATCCTCCTGACACCCACCCTGCAGATATTTGTAAGCATTTCTAAGGTGCCCTCTCAGCCTTCTCTTCTTCAGGCTGAACAAGCCCAGCTCCCTCAGCCTCTCCTCGTAGGAGAGATGCTCCAGTCCCCTCCTCATCCTCGTAGCCCTCCGCTGGACTCTCTCCCGTAGCTCCTCATCTTTCTTGAACTGGGGAGCCCAGACCTGGAAACAGCACTGCAGATGGGGCCTGTGCTCCCAGCTCCGCACTCAGCCCCTCTTCGACTCAACACGGTATCCCACCAGTGCAACAGCTTGTATTATCTTATCTTATACTTAAGATGAACCAGAGCTCAAATCTTCAAGAAGTCATTTGCTTTTACTGCACAGGACCAAACTGTAGAAATTTAGCAACTGCATCTTTTATCTGGCTGAGAGAATTCTCCTTTGACAAACAAAAGCCCCAATGACTCCCGACTCCTCATCTCACTTGCCATTTGTGTTTTGTGCAGGTGAAGAGGAAGGGCTGACCTACCCACGGAAGTAGGCATTTCTCCCCACTGGAGCACCACATCTTTAGTTATCCGGCCATAGGTGTTCACATAGACGCCTTCATCCTCGTAGCACACAAGCATCTCCATCCCGTCTGTTTTAGGCAGGATGACAATGGCGTGAGGAGTAATATTGCCCTGAATCTGCAGTTAAAATAAACCCTAAAAGTCAGAATTACATTGAATGGGGGAAAGGGGGAGGGGGAAGGGAGCAGAGCCTTAGAAAAACAAAACCCCAAACAAAAGAAAACCTTCCCTCCGTTCACCAAACAGGCTTTGGCTTTCAGAGATGAGCTGGGGAAGGGAATAAACTGTCACGTTTATCCTATCGTCAAAGCTGTCTTGATACGTCAAGGATGAACAGGTTCAGCAATCAGAGAGAGAATCACAACACACGCCCCCAAGACTGACGCTGACACCTCGCTGTGACACAGACCAGCGCCTGCCGACTGATGAACCCATCTCCTACCCAAATCAATGCAAGCAAACTCAGAATTTACAGGCAGCCCTAGGGAGGAAATATTCCCATTTTTAGCAATCAGTCTCTAGCTCTGAGGGCAGTGTCCTACAGCGACTTTCCACCCATGTCTGCCCTTCCACAGCTAAGACAACAAGACCACCCCAGACTGCCCCAGTATTTCTCCCTACGCTTCTTGTCAGCTCTCAGAGAGGAGGCTCTGCTGCTCGGATCAGATTCAGCAGCTCCTGGCTTTGCTTAGTGACCCTGTTTCTCCTAGAGCAGTTTGTCATGCTGCTTGGGCCAACAGCATGGCTGGAGCTTAAACGAGCCATCAAGAAAATCCTCATCTGCAGTGTTTTTTGTAGCACTGGTTCTCCCCGAGATAGCTGCTGGACCTGAGAGAGGTCTTGTGGTGAGTCCCTGCTGTCAGGGGGTTTGGGAGTTCTGAGCAGGAGGCCTTCTGAGATTTGGGCTACCCTCGTCCTGCAGCCCTCACATGGGGAACGAGTAAGGGTTGGTGAGCACATCTGGGACACCATGCAGCTGGACATCTGGGACACCATGCAGCTGGACAGTGTGCTGGGCAGCCGACTCTTGGTGAGTCTATGTTGTCCAACAACCAAGAACCTGGTTTTGTGGTATCTTGCCCTACAGAGAGCTCCATTACCCCTCCGTGCAGCGTATGGACAGATTCTCCTTTTTGTGGGACACAGAAGCCTTAAACCCGACTGCTCGGGCATGAGGACAGAAATAGCCTGTGCAAATAATGAACATGGAGTATCTGATACCCCCCAGTCCTCTTTATGTGAGTATCAATGAGGATGGCACTGGAGAATGTCATACCCATGGCAAGATGTCCCCTGACTAGTCACCACTTCTGAGCCACCAAGGGCCCATCCAAACCTTGCCGGTGACCTGCGTCAGTCATGCAGCAGCACTCCCCCGTGTACTCACATGAGATGGTATGTAGATATCATAAGAGTTCCCAGAATCTACATCAATCACATGGAAACCAGTGTGTGATCCAAAGATAACCTTGAGTCTCTGACCCTCTTCTACAGTGAGATCCACGAGCAACGGCTTGTGCTGGAGATCTGCAAAAGACTTTTATATCCCCTTCAGTGAGTATCACAGAGAACCAACAAATCCCCATAGCAGCAGCCCGATACGGTTTTGAAATCATATTTGTTCGACTGTGTTTCCTACTAAATATGTGGTTATTCATATTCCCGTCTCTCTGTTCCTACACCAGGTACCTCAGAGGGTATCACCCACTCACCCCAGCCATCCCGGCAGATCAGCGCTCACCCTTGCCGAGCACAGCTCTTCTTCCCACGAGCCCAAGGCCAGCCTGAGGTTTTGGTCTCTGAAGGAAGGCGACAGCTCAGTTTCACACGAGCGTGCGTACAGCCAGTGTGTGGGGTAACAAGAGCAGAGTCTGCAGAGAGCTGTGGCCACCCCCCTCCTCTCCCAGCGGGCATCACCGCTCCGGTTTGGGCAGCTGAACTGAGTCCGATTAGCAAAGGCCTACTTCTCCCTGTTCAATCTAACCTGCTGGATGCAGGCTGGGACCAACTCCATGGCACGGATCGATCCAGGAGAGAGCATCCCTCCATGGCTTAGGTCCTCAGCAGGAGGGTGAAACACCCACAGGGAGAGAAAAGGGGTCCTGGCTCTCTGTGCAAGGACCGCTCTGACTCCTGTCAGGGAAAATCAGCGGGCGGTGCTTCCCACCATTCAGACAGATCCCTGCCTACAAGGGAAGGGAAGGACGCTCAGCCCGCCGCGACGTCAGAAGCCACACCAGGAGCACTAACCAGCACCCTCAGCGGAGCCCGGGCCATTTTGATGCTGCTGAGCTCTCCATGTCATCGAGCCCATGTGTTCTGGCTTTTGGTCACAAAAAGCAAATGTGACCTAATACTGAATAAGCCCATTTGTGCTGGGAGGATGCAAAATGAGATTGCTCAGCATGAACGTCTCCAGCAGGCATTGCCCCCTGTGACTCGGCTCTGCACAGAGCTTAGGATGAAAAGTGCTTTACAGCACTAAGTACAAAACACCCGTTGGCAGGTTACAGAGGAGAAAGATCTCACTGAAGGAAGCTGAGGTAGATGAAAAGAGAGAAAGAATGGGTCCTTCTCCTGGACTTTCTGTCCTGAAACAGAATCCACACTGGAGAAGGGGAGATGACCTTGCAAAATAAAAATGGAAAAGGCTGGCAACCTGTTTTCATCCTCTATGTGAAAAATTAGGCAGAGTAAAAAAAAAAAACGAAACCACAAAAAATAACCCCATCAAAAGCCCCAGTTGAATTTTACTTGTGGGCCTTGGGTCAGCTTTCTGCAAACTTCCCAAATAAAGCCTGCCAGCACAAGCAAATATTAACGCTTAATCATTAGCCACAAGCAGAACGTATCCCATGTCTTCAGCCAGAAGGTATCCTGTCTCCCCTGCCTGCTGGGCATCTGAGGAGCTCAGCTACGTAAGCAAGATGCTTTTCTGCTCTGCATAGTCCAGAAATCTCCTGTATTTACAACTACAGAGCGTGTTTTGGTTAAAAGACAAACATACCTTAAATGCCATAAACTTGTGATATGGTTTAGGAGCCCAAGCGTAGATCTCTACAGCATTCTTTAAGGCAATCACCAAGAACTTGATTCTTTCATACTTCACTAAAATGAAAATAAAACCCATTTTAAAACCATTCACTTTCTTTCCAACAAGACCTAACAACTCATCTCCAGAACAGCTTCTCAGGCTGTCTCTCTCTGCTGGTTTGTGTTTGGTAAAGTGTCCACCTAATACATACAGACAAATCCCAAATTTATTTGTGGCTATGGTCTACCCATACTTCTAAGAGAAATTGTCAGGTCAGATCTCAAACTAGAGAACAAAAAGGCATTTTATGGACATTTTTGGACATTCGGACTTGGGACATTTTTTTCCAGAGAGGCCACTCACCGACTTTGTAGTGGATGCATCCCTCTAGGTCCCCGACCGTGATCCAGCCCTGCTTCTTCTCCACTTCAGGGTCATTGTGTAAAATCCTGTTTCTCAGCCAGGAGAGATAGTACACGCGCAGCTTGTTCTTCTTTCCTGTTGGCAAAGGAAGCTTCCCCGTCAGAGCAGAGCAAGCGGGCACGGGAGATCTTGGGATTTCAGTGCTTGCTTTCACCCACAAGATGATAAAAATTAAAGTTCGTTTCACGACAAAGTTGAAAACAGCAATTTAGTTGTTGTGTTGGTTTTTTTTCTTGGGAAAAAACGTATGGAAAGCAGAGCCCAGACCTCTGTCTCCCAGACCGCAGGCGGACACGGGAAGAGCCGGGCTCTTGCTTCCGCAGGTTGGAAATGTTCCTTTTCCTATAGATCAGTGTTCACGCAGAGCCGGTTGGGCACAGCGGGACCGTGACCCCAGCTCTTACAGCTCAGGGCTGACCCGACCACTCAGCTACCTGGTTTCTTTCCTCTCTTCTTCACACAACATTAATTCCATGAGCCCCGTGGCCTGCAACAGGCACCGGGAAGACCTTTTCGCTGACGAGCCACGTGCTGGGCTCTGCAGCGCTGAGGGGCTGCCGAATTCCTGCACTTCTGTGGGCTCTGGGACGGCTGCGACGTGGCTACAAACACCCCCCCCCCCCCCCGGCCAACAAAGCCCCCGCCACAGGGATGGGACACAGCTCGCACCAAGGCCGGTGGGAGAGAACCCAAACCATCAACCGGGGGCTGCATCTGCTCCTGGGTTTCCACAGGTCCCCCGGGTTTGTCCTCAGCACTGTGTTTGGGGCTGGTGCTCCCCGGGGAGCGTTACCCCTCCCTTCATCACCTTCCGCCCCTTCGAGTGCAGAGTGAGCCCAGGGAGGTGCTGAGCAACGTGAAAGTAAACAGAATCATAGAATCATTAAGGCTGGAAAAGACCTTTAAGATCATCAAGTCCAACCGTCAACCCATCAGCACCATACCTGCTAAACCATCTCCTGAAGTGCCACATCTGCACGTTTTTTGGAGCAATTTCTCTTGCTGTCCTCCGTGAGCTCTGCGGGGCAGGTACCAGCAGGAGAAGGCTCTGCCCCGGCTCCACCACCCGTGTGCTTCACGGGGCTGCTCTGCAGGGAGGGTGCTGGGCACCTTCCTGGGAGACTGGACTAGAGAGTTTTCACTTCGTTTTTGCCAGAAATCACCCCAGGAGCCTGAGCTGAGAGCTCTGGAGCTCTTGGCTGAATCAGGGGACAGTGACCAGCGCGTGGCCTTCACGATGCTTGGGGCACCCTGAGCACAGCCGTGGCCCGAGCAGGAGCACTGCAGCAGGGTTGGGCAGAAGCAGACCCAAAAGCAGAGCTTGCTGCTGCCTGCTCGAGCTGTGATTACCACCCGCCTTGCTGCAGTGTCTGCATCCCGCACCTCCCCTCCCCTGCTGTAGGAGGATGGGGCACTGGGGACGAAGTGGAGCTGCCAGGTGATGCGAGAAAATGCTTTCGGAGGTCTTCTTGAAATCTAACGCTTTTGATTCTGGAATAAACCGCCTCCAACCCTCCCCCGGGAGCTTCCCTCTGACACCAGTGGGCAGGTTTTGTCTGAGCTGGAACCGCTCGGGGCACACAGCCAGGAAGGTGAAGGAAGGGGTGGGAGCACGAGAGGCGTACCCGATATTGTCACGAGGACGTTCAGACCCTCGAGTACGTCCATCTGTTGAAATCGCCGTCTGTTGATGAGGTTGTAGACCTTCCCTTGTCCACTTCGGTCCAGCAGCATCAGGCCGTTTTCGGTGCCCACCAGCAGATTCACCCCTGCAGAGGAGAGGGCGATGGGCGCCAGGAGCCACGGCTGCTCCCACGGACGACACCCTGAGCTCATCTCAGCTACCATTGCAGAAGCGACCGATCCCAGCTAAGGCTGTGGGGACTCGGGGACATTAGCCTTGCCCGGGATGGAGAAGGGGACAAACACTGACATTTCATCACCAGCCACACGCTCTGGGGAGCTTTGCCGAGGGCACGGTGGGACGAGGCGCTTACCCCATAAAGCAGCACAGAGTATCTCCGAGTTGAAGCGCTTCTTGTATTTCCGGATCTCCGGGGTGTCACTGTGGGGACGGATGTTGGTGGGGTTGACGTTCACCACCGAGATCTTCCGGGCTTCGTTCAGCTTGGCCTGCTCCTGTCTGAGCAGCTCGCTGGTGAACAGGGCTTGCAAGGAAACACAACGAAACAGCGAGGTGTGACGCATTAACTCTTCTGTCACCTCTTTTTTGGGATAGGAAGACAACACTTGGTTTATTTCCTGATGGGGGAGTCATTACTACGTCACAAGCTACTGGTATGGAGAGGGATCATCAGGATTTTCTCGTGGGTCAGAACCACCACCAAACCCGTCGGCAGGTGATGTCCCCAGGCCTCCAGCCCTGCCTGCAGAGCTGAGAGCGCTATTCGCTGCCCGCATCCAGCCATTTTCAATGACTGCTGAGCAACCGCCAGCTTTTTGGAGCAATCACCACCTCCCAGTTCTGCCAGGAACATCTCTCCTGGCTGCCCAGGCAGACGGGTGGGTGGATTTCTGCTGCTCCCTGTTTTCTCCTGGACCTTTCTGGTAGCTTTTCACTGGTGGGGGAAGAAGAAGTTGGATGGAGACTGAAGAGCACAAGGATGCAGACATGAGCAGTGTTTGGACAGGAGTAAGTGAAATGTAGAAGAAGTTCAGCGGGGTTATCCAGGCTCCATGACCTGGTTGCCACAAGACCCTCCCCTCTCCAACTGGCCCCACTGCCACCTACCAGTAGCAGATGACTCTTCATCCTCATCTTCGTCTTCATCAGTAGGTGAGGTCTGATACACTCTGGTGTCCACAAATGGGGTGAAAGAGGCTTTGGTGCTACTTCCCATACCGTACTGGAAAACAAACAGCCAGGAGAGAGCTCAGAGCACTGAAATAATAACCATAATTTTGTGCACGTGTGTATAGGTAAGACCCAGCGCCTGGCCCTGTGGTGCCCTTTTTGAGCCCTGTATGAACATTTGCCCCTCCTCCCTCGTAACTAATCAGGAAAAACATTACATTGGATTTGCGAGTGTCCATGAGCAACAGCAAAGGAGGGGAGCAGGGCCCAGCTCTGCTCTCTCCTCGCAGGGAAAGCACAGCACAGCCAGGAGACCGGGTGGCGGAGAAGCCGCAGGGCCAGAGGCAAAGGTCACTGCTGGTAAAAAACCAACTTGTCTGCGCGGTGACACGCCTGCCTGAAACAGCCCGCTCCGGGATGCCAGGCAGGGGAGGGTTTGCTTCTCCCTCTCTCCCAGCGTACGAGACTGGCAGGATGGCACTGGGAGCCCCAGCAAGCCCCGGACCACCAGAGTAATCTGGCGAGCTGGTAGAGGTGGGACTGTTGTCCTTCCTTATGCCAAAGCCAAGTGCTAACCAGCACAGTCCGAGCAAAGATTTTATTCCAATAGGTTGTGGAAATCTATTTTAGGACCTGAAAAGCGTCGTCGGGAGAGCTCGCTCAGCCATAAAACCACTCCGCTCGTACCACCCGCTCTCCAGGGATTTGCCGGGCTAAGCCCAGATCACGGATGCCCTTGGGAAAGTGGGAGAAGTCAGCTCTTTAGCAATACACCTATTTTTCGTCTGGCTGCTCCGGTTTTGGGAGGACTTGAAGTGCTGGAGGTGGGGAAGGCTCGGGGTGAGCTGTGCGATGCTTTCGGGAGGGCTTTGGAACAGGGGGTGTCTGAAAGCTCCTCGGACACTCAGGCTCGTGAGGAGACGGCACCTCCCCGTCGCTCCATCCCCCCCAAACCTGGTCTGCAGCACACTGCACGGGGACGACACGTGCGGGTTGTCTGCAATTTCCATAAAACTTTAAAAATTGCCTATAGCATCTCGGGTGGGACTGCAGAAAGGGCTGCTTCTAAGTCAGCAAAACGAAACCTGAAAGTATGGCGGGGAACGTCAGAGCCAGCACTTCGGGATCTGGGGAGGAACAAACCCCCACATTGCGTTGCTTTCTTTTTAAAGCCGTTGCTTTGTTAAGGCAGAAAACGGGGCTCAGACCTCCTCAGCAAAAAGGAAATCCTTGCCTTGGGAATCGAAGCGATGCGATTGCCCCCCCCTCGCTGAGCAGCCTGTTTCTCCTGCTGCAGCATTCACCCAGGACATGCTTTATGCATGAGCTCTGTTCAGAGCTGCAACAGCAGCAAAACCCAAGTCACTCTGCAGCAGCACGATTCCTCGCGTTTTTCTTCCTCGAGACATTTTCCTTCACCAAAATAAATCTTCCCCAGCTTTCCCGTCACCGAGCCACCACAGCCCGGGCTGATCCCATGCCCAAAGCCACCGTCGCAGCCCCGGACGGACGACTGCCATGGGGACAAGCCCACGTGCCACGGGGAACACCACTGCCCTAGCACATCCATACCAGCGATGGGCTCGGACCACTCCTCCGGCTGGCCACAAAAAGATTTAGGGGCAAAAAAACCTCGTGGTTTGGGACTTTCCACGGTGGCACCAAGGTTTTGGGGCTGGCTAGGTGAGCCGACATCCGTGCCCCGCGCCTGCCAAAACCACGCTCACCTCCCGCTTCCCTCCTGGCTCTCTTCCCCTGACAGCCTGCCTGTTTCCATAGAAACGGGATGGATTTCCAAAAAGGACAAGGTAACCGAGACCCACGGAAGGAGGTAAGAGCCTGCGGCAGGGAAGGCTGCAGCAACAGATACGGCATTTACATACACAGTACGCCATGATATTGCGTGCGCATCTGAGATACACTCACTACTTTGTGCTTCTCTATCCAAGAAATACAAATTTTTTTTCCCTGTGATGGATGTCTTTTCCATAAAACACCAACAATTCAAGGAGGAGACAAAGTCAAAGTATTTACAGGGATGCTTTCCAGCCGAGAGCCAGGTGCTTTTATGACAAATGAATTATGAAGAAATCCCTCATCCCAATGCACCGAGCATTTCTTTTCTTTGCTCAGATTCAGCTACTCTCCTAAGAATTCTCCATTTTAATAACTTGCAAGTCCATTATTTAAACATTAAGACCTCATCTTTCTCCAGGTCCCGTTCAACCTCCTACAAACCTCCGCGGTGGCCCACAGAGACACCATCAAGCTGCGGGGTGAGGGTGTGCTTACTCCCTTCTTTTTGCCTGCAGCACCATGAGTCACCTGGAAGCCTGCGAACTAAATCCCCAAGTTTCCACTTACACCCACTCCTGGCTCAGCCAGCCCCAAAAACGCAGTTTTAGAAATGGAAAACATCTTTTTGGTTGGTATTCTATAAATGAATATTTAAACGCAATCCTTGCTCATGTTTAAGCAGTCCCAGGATGACCGTGGAAGGTGTTACTTTCAGGATGAACTCATCACTGCTTTTAAAGGCAACGGGGAAACGGATAAAGCCTTGAGGTCAAGTCACGCACCATCTGTTCTTACGTTTCATCAATGAACAATTCCAAGCGTTTTTTATTTTTATACTGCTAGTAAAAGTAAAGCATAGAATGAGTACATCGTTTCTGTGAAAGAGAACACGATGACAGAACTTCTGATGTATAACCAACAAAATGAAAAGAAAAAATTAAACAAAATAGCTTATTTAGCACCAAATGGGTTGATTTCTCATAGGAAAACAGCGAATTATGTGCCTGGTTCCCACAGCTGGTGATGGTAAGCAGGACACATCGACTTCCCTGGCTTTTGTGCCACATCTTGTACTTTCCAGGACTTTTTACACCTTACGCAATGTTAATGTTCAATCGTGTCCCTGTGAAACAGCTACTGGGGAGAAATACTTTGCCATGACTGGAAACACACCATTTTAAAGGCGTGCAGATTTCTGCTCATCTGAAGAACTGTCCACAATTTTGTTGGCTTTGGTTTTTGCAAGCCTTTTGCGTCACGTGAAGTACCAGAGATCACACCGGTGGAAGCTGGGCCCAGCTGAAGTTAACGGCATCTCTGGCTTTCATAATTCTCTGTTATTTCCAAGTGCAAAAAAAAAAAAAGGGGGGGACACGACACTTTCACAGCAGTTGGCAGCATTCCAGCCGTGACACGACACTTTCACAGCAGTGGGCAGCATTCAAGCCGTCACCACCGAAACTCCAGCTGTGGGCTTGAGAGAAGACCTAATGTACGTTTCTACCATCAGTCACAGACCCGTGCAGAGACAACCCATCAGATTCCCTTGTCTTTCCACTACACTCTCCCACGTGGACCAGAAACAAAGAGAGAAGAGCCAAGAAAGCCAGGGAGGAAAGCAGGAAAGCCCCTTTACGGGGCAGAGGTGTTAATACTTGTTTCAAGCGATGCAAAGGAGAAAGAGGAGCCCCCCCACCACCTACTTCAGGCACCGAGTCCATGTCCTGCGCATGCGTGGAGACTCGCCCCAGGGCCTCGGTCGGCGTGCCGGCAGGCGAGTGGCTTTGCTGCACCAGGTCAGGGAGATTGATGTGACCTGCAAAGCCATTGCTGGCTGCGTGGCCAGAACGCTTTTTTTCACCAGAGGTCTGCAGAGACACAAAGCACGAACCAAAAGGAGAGGGGAGGAAGGGGGGGGGGGGAGGGAAGGAGGGGGGAAGAAGAGAAAAAGAAGAGAAAAAAAACAAACAAAACCAAGTCGTTGGCAGTCCCCCAGTTCCCAGAGCAAGCGCAGGAGAAGGACCCTCTCTGTTTCCATCCCTATGCAAGCTGGCAAGCAGCAAACCAACCCCCCACCCCAGGAGAAAGAAAGAGGGATTAATCACAAAGTCAATACAGAGTAATTAGCCACGTTAGAGCGAGAGAAGCCTGATCGCGGTTGTTTTGAGGCAAGGAACGTAGGGCAGATTCTGCTCTTGCCACCACGGGTGCAAAACCCATGGCCGGCTCTCCTCCCACGCAGCTGCCGGTGACAGCAGAATCTGCCCCCTGGATCAGCGTCAGCCAACGGCTTTGCACAGCTACGGCAGCGAAGGGCCTGACTGCAAATGCCAACACAGCTCCCGTCGCATGTTTCTGTAACCCAAACCAGCAGTGAACAGAGGGAGCATCGGCAGAACCACCGGCATCTTGCTCTGCGTGCAACGTGCCCGGGGCTTCCCCGGGGTTCCCCCTCCTCTCCAACCCCATCTTGTGCAAGACAACGGCAAGTTTCTCCCTTCCCTGCTCATCGTTTGGAGATATTTGCCATTTTGATGACTCCCACCTGCCTGGAGCACACCAATGAGATCATTACAGAGACTCGCCCGTTTACTGGGATTAGTGGAAAACTCCCTCTGAACAAGCTCACCAAGTTTTTGACCAGTCCCCACAACATTTATCTTTTCTTCCCTTGTTACCATCACCTTCAACCACCTTGTTGTCCTGCCAAACAGCGAAAAGCCCTTTGCCCAAAGCCCGCTGCCCGCAGCGCGTCTGTCCTCCGATGGCTGCGGTGATGGTGGGGAGGGAACAGTCAGCACCCAGCACCAGGCTGCGGTTTGGCTTTCTGATCACGCTCCCTCCTCCCAGAGGGGTTTCCCAGCTGCTTGTCTCACCTGTGGCTTTTAAACCCTTCTGCATCACCGGTTTCTCCAATGGCCTTGCTGGCACGGCATGCGTTTTACAGCTGTGACGCTCAGCACCAAGCTCACTCCCTGCCTGTCCCCGCAGCGAGCTGTTCTCCTGCCCGGCATCACCCTCCCTGCTACAAGGACGGGCAGCGGGCTGCCCAGGCTGGGGGTCCCTGCCCCGAACGGCTCCACGCCGGCGGGGGGTGAGGGGGCTCTGCATTGCTGCCCAGCTCCGAGACTCAGGGAGGAAGGCAGCAAACACGCTGCGACTTCTTTTGCTAACTCCTTCCTCTCTTTCGAAGTTGCATTCATTTTTTTTCCCCCCTTCCTACGTGAATATTTTATGTAAACGGAATTAAGAATTGAAATGCTGCTCGGGTCTAGTTTGTGTTTGATCTAAACACTGCTCCTTTACGATTGTTGACTCCAGACTCCCCTCTCTCCTTCTCCTCTCCCATCCACCTCCTTCACATGCCGGCAGGAGAGTGACTCGCCTGTTTTACCGACTGCCCCTCACCAGGAGACCTGCCACCATGCTGCCTTTCCAGCAGCATCACCAGCGTGTTCCAGCAGCTGGGAAAATCACAAAACACTGGGGCAGGTCTTCCACAGCTGGCCGAACGTGCCTCCTCCCCCTGGCTCCGGCAGCACCATCCATCAGGACTGCTCCCACCGCAGCCCCACTCACCTCCCTGACGCCGGAGCCGGGGGCTCGCAGCCGGGCGGGATGCCCGGAGCCCGCACGGGGAGGGGGCCTGGGCCAGCCCCTGCTAAAAGCCTCCCAACGCTCTACAAACACCGCCCGCCTCTGACACCCATCCGGTGGCAAAGGTTGGGAAGAGAGGGGAAACTCTGGGCCAGGTTCCAAGTGTATGAACAAAATGCTGTAAATTAAAGATGACTTCTGCTGCCTGGAGCTATCGTAGGTTTAGGGTAGAGTCATTCAAAGGAGCATCCCGCCCACGGCGCCCTGGCATTACTATTCACTGCTGTTTGTAGTTCTGAGAAACATTTGCACTTGTCACATTTGCACGGAGTGTAAATTGTATTAACGAGAGCGCTAACGAGCACAATTTACTCAGTCGTTTTGTGTTCCGGACACACAGCACTGTTAGTTTTTGTGCTTACATGGGCAAAACCTCCTGAAGATGCTCCATGGAAATAGCTGTTTTACAACTTACCTCCCTCACCATTAAAGTCCCTTCCCTTGAAATATTGCTAAACGTATCTGCATGGGAAGTCTCCAGCCCGTGGGTTGTCACCATTCCCAGGTTGTACGGCTCATTGCTCCCAGGAATTCCTGTTGGTCTGAGGACAGAATGGACAAGCATTAACGATGGGTATTTCCTTCGCTAAACTAGATGAAAAATCCCTAATACAGTATTATGTCAAAAAGGGTAAGGCTTTGCATCCCACAGGAAGAAAAATTAGAAAATATATCGACTTCAGTGTATGGGGAAATTATTTATCTTGTCAGAAATACAGGACCAGGGTCAGGTTGATACACAACAGATAGAGCATGGAGACCAAGGAGAAGGGCCCTTGTCGTCCCAAAGTGCCCTGAGAGGAGCATGGACAACAGGTAACCAGGAGCTGCAGTCTCATTCTGCCTTACATCATTTTTTCTACTTAAAAAAGTTTGAAAAAAAATAATTCACTCCCTTTCTGCTCCCATCCCAACCCCGGAAAAGGGAACAGTGCATCAGAGCGTCCGACGACAAAGGACAACACGGAGGGTCTGGAGCAGGTGTGGGCAGGAGTACAGCTTGCGCCCTGCAGCTCTCTGCTGTCCTCCAGGAGAAAACACAGTCCTAACCCAAGATTTCACCTTGAGTTTATTTCCGTGCTCCTGTCTCAAGAGGGAGGCTGGAATTTATTCTCGCACACATAAAAATTTAGGACTGCCCGAGAGCGGATGTCACAGGCAGTGAGAAGCCACCGCTACTTTATTATTGCCTTCTTAGCAGACCAGCTGCTCAACTATAATTCATACAAAACCAAAAGCAAACGACGAAGAGCCTCCGGATTACCCAGCCCTGCCTGTGCGCTGGCAAACGCCGACGGTGGTGATGAAGATGTTGCTGGTGAGACCAGTCACTCTGCATTTAAAAGCCCTATAGACCGGTTGCTTTCCACCAGTATGAAGTAACTGACTCCTCAGCACATCATCCCCGTGCACACCTACTTGTCAGTGCCCGGAGGCTCGCGAGGGAGCCGGGCAGCATGGAAAGCCAAAGCGAGCCTGCATTAATCAAGGGGGTTGCTGGTCCAACTCGAGATGTCAGCCCTGAGGACCCCAAGGTGGGACTGGCTCGGTGATGGACCTCGCCTGCATCATCTCAAACGTACGGCTGGACAGGCATCACCAAAGCACTCCAAACAACAGTGTGCCATACTTCTGGGGCACCTTTCACTAAGGAGCTCACACCTTCCTACCATTAGCTTTTCAACACCACAAAAGGATGAGAAAATAACACAATTATTCCAGTTTTAGAAATAAGAAAGCAGAGACAAAGGAGTTTGCGTTAATTTTGAGACCACACAGCAAGCGAATCAATGGCTGTGGTAGCCCCAAGGTCCCAGATTTCATCAGCATGCAGTTTCCACGCCACCCTGCAAGAAATCCCTGGACGCAGGCAAGAGCTGGCCTGCACAGCTCAGCGGAGAGGGAGCTGAAGGGAGTCATCATAGCCTTCAGATGGAGAAAAGGTATCTGCAGAGGTGGAGGGAGTCAGCGCTCCCTCCTGTCCACAGGGACACAAAGCGATGGGTGGGCTTATCCCGCAGCAGGAGAGACCTGGACAGAGCTGGAACGAAGAGCAGCCTGGTGCTCAAGGAGGATGCCCAGCGAAGTCTAAAAATGGGTTATACCAAGAACACGCGGAAGGTGCAGGAGAAGATGAGATGATGGTCTCTCTCGGCCCCAGTTTCTAATGAAAAACACTGAACACAAGAAAAATAAAGCTTTGATAGAAAAATGCCAACTACATCCGGTCTGAACTTGAGTTAAGGTTCTTTTTGTGAAATAAGACTGTAAAGTCAAGCATTTGTTTTCTTTTTCCCCCAACACAGAGCAGCGCAGCCGTGCCTGCAGACAGCTGTGAAGGCTTAGACACAGACAGAGCTCCCGCCTCCTCACTGTGACACGAAGGGTTTCCATCTCCGTGTTCAGCCTCGGAGGCACCGTCATTGACAGGACGCTACGGGACAAGTGCCGTCGGGCTGGCAGCGGGCTGGGGGCACCCATCTCACTGCCATGGCTGTCGTTGACACGTCTGGCTGCAAAGGACTCGGCGAGATATTTTATCCACCGCAAAGTGTGGTGTCAAACCCAAGGCATTTGGTGGAAGGAGGTCAGCGCAGGTTAACCACTCCTGACTGAACCCCTCTTCTGCGAGCAGCCTGAGGCCCCTTCTCACGCGCTGGACTGCCCATCCAATGGCTGTATATTCATAGCCATCCCTCTGTCTCCTAACTTTCTCCAACAAATTCCAAGCACTCTGATATTTGTTATTCTGCTGGAAGGAAGCTCCAACCCAGGAGCTTGGCACTCTGCACAGCACGGACCCCCTAGGTCTCCTTGCCACCCGGAGGGCCTCCCTGCCGCTCCATGCCCCACCACTATGAAGCCAGGTACACCTATATCGACTAATAATTCACTTAGCAGGAAGAACAGAAATGAACTGACTGAAATGCAAAAAATTTCCTAAAGCCTTCCCACAACTCCTCTGTGAATCCGAAGGGGCACAGAGATATTCAAAAGCACAAGTGTCCCATGACCTGCAATGCGGATGCAATAGTACAGTCTGACGACTTTTTTGTTTTAATGTTTTAGCCCACCACGTTTTGCAGCCTGTACAGTTACTGAATCAAGGACAAAAAAATAAAAGAGAAAGATTCAGGATTATTCTAATCCTGGCTCTACCAGCTGGCACTGGGCAGGCCAACAAGTACAGCACTTCAGCATGGCGTGATCTGGGGCAAGACCAGGCTCAAGAGCTTTAACACGCCAAGCCCGTGGGCAGGACGCAAGGTGTGGATGAGGTCAGGCGTGTCCACTCTGGCCAAAACCCCACCTCGTTCATCAGCAACAACAGGTCCATCAGCCTGGAGTTCAAGTTCACTGAACATGAAGTAGAAACCATTCAGTTTTTCCCCATTAAGTATCTCTAGTTTGGACCAGGAAAAAGACTCATCTGAGCAAATGAGTGGTAAATGTTGGAGTGGGTCCAGAGGAGACCACAAAAATGATCCAAGGGCTGGAACAACTCTCCTGTGAGGAAAGGCTGAGAGAGTTGGGTCTGTTCATCCTGGAGAAGAGAAGGCTCTGGGAAGACCTTCTAGCAGCCTACCAGTATCTGAAGGGGCCTACAAGAAAGCTGGAGAGGGACTTTTTAGAAGGGCATGTAGTCATAGGACAAGGGGTAATGGCTTCAAGCTGAAAGAGGGTAAATTTAGATGGAATATAAGAAAGAAATTCTTTACTCTGAGGGTGGTGAGGCCCTGGCCCAGGTTGCCCAGAGAAGCTGTGGCTGCCCCCTCCCTGGCAGTGTTCAAGGCCAGGTTGGACAGGGGTCTGAGCGACCTGGGCTGGCAGAAGGTGTCCTGGGCCATGGCAGGGGGACTGGAATTAGATGATCTATCAGGTCCCTTCCAACCCAAACCAGTCTATGATTCTACGATAAATGATCCCTTGCAACCATGACACCGTTCCCAGTGCCAGCCACCAAACACCACTGCACTTTGGACATGTCCCATATCCAGACCAAGACGCCGCGGTTTTATGGTTTGCGCCCCCAAAAGAAATCGCTTCTTACATAAGCCGTGGGATGTCACTGACAGGCACGGTCCCATCATGTGTCTCGTTTTCCCCGTCCTCCTCCTCCTCCTCGCTGCTTTCCGACTCCTCGCTGGAGGAGGAGTAGTCCGTCACCTTCTTCAGGGGGCGATTGGTTTCTTCAATGCGCAGCTCCCTCAACTCTTTGGCTAAGGCCGTCAGATCCTAAAGGGGATGGAGGCAAGAAAACAAGAAAGCGATGGCTATTATGTTTAAAGCGAGGAGAATGTCATACATCTCTCCAAAAGCCAATGCTAACAGCACGAGCAACAAGAAATAGCTTTACAGAGTCGTTACAAACATGAGACGAACGTAAGACAATGTTTGTAGCATGTAGCATTTATTAAACAAAACAAAACTGATTTACGCTCACTGAAAAATCAATAGCCAACCTCTTCTTTTTCTGTTTGGAACGTGTATGTGCATATATATACACACTTATATGTATATACACGACAAAATTATATTTGTTGGAAAAGGTGAAGCTCAGTCACCATCATAGTAAACTGGAAAACAACATCATTTCAAAGATTGGCTTGGAGAATTTCTCCTGCAGGGCTTTCTCTTCTTTCCAGCTTCTCAAAGAGACCCCGCAATTGTATTTATTCTGTAATAAATGCATTTGGGACGGAAGCAATGACAGCATCTCCCACGGAGTGGTGCAATCCCCACGTCAAGAGCTGCTTCCGTGGCGAGTCTCCGCTGCCGGGCGGCTGCCGAGAGGCGGTGAGGAGCATGACGAGAAGCGCCCAGCTCAGCCAGACTTTGGACTCACAGCTCTGAGTCAGCCACACGATCAAAAAAATAATATAAAAAAAATAAAACCCCCAATCCCTCAGCGGGACCCATTAAGCACTTTATGTGAAATGTGGCAGCCTACAAGCTAAGGGGGGAAAAAAAAAAAAAAGCCTTGAAACGAGAAAAAAGATAGGAGCAGTCCCAAAGCCTAGTAATAATTTTTCAGTTTACCATGACTTTGATGAGGTCTCAGACCCGACAGTCATATAAAATCGACACTGCTATTTCAAAACAAGGAACATGGCAGGCACCGTGTAGAAAAGAGACTTTTTGTTATCTTACATGCTTTTATAGCAATGCAGGGGGAAGCAGTAGGGCAGAAAAGCATGAGAGCTTGAATTAGAATGGGTTAGAGAAGTCTGTTGCACAAGACATGCACATGACGAACAAAGCATCGCAATTGTCAGTCTTACCATTTCTCCCTATATTAGTGACCGAGGTAGGCATCAGTGCATTCGGTCAGAGATAAAGGATTAGGGAGAAAGAAACTCATTGAAAAAGACTAAATTCCACAATTGTCTTACGGCCATACTCTCATTTACTGCATTTCCAGTTTACCGTTCCAGCAGGGCGACTACGGCAATATTAATTACAGTTGCAAAGGGAGCTCTTAAAATCTATCCCGTCGACACGTGAAGAAAACGATGGAAAACCTCGACGGCTGAGATGCAAACCCAGTTCATTTTTTTTAAAGGTGAAGCAGGAATATTTCGCAAGCAACCTGTACTTTGGCCGTCGCTGACCCACACCTCCCGGTGAGCTCCCACCGGTGGACAGCCGCACATTCTGCTCCCAGGTCTGCCCTGCCCGGCCTCTGACGTAGGGCACAGACTCCCACGGACGTCACAGAGCTTTGCGTCAGACCCGTAAATACCAAAAACCCCTAGGTTTTTCTTAAAAAAAAAAAAAAAGGGCCAATCCCTGCTTCGCAGCGGGTATCTGTGGTGGGTATTACGTATCCCTCTCCAAATGCTCTTTGTACCTTTAAAGAAAGGCTCCTCGTCATGATTAAAGAGAGAATGTGGTATTTCCAGAGTTTACTTTCGATGCCAACATGTTTGGGATTGAAATACAGTCAAATCTGCAGTCACGACAACTAATTATTTTAATTAGCGCTGTAGCAGCTTCTACGACATGACTGCTTCTTCTCCTAAATAAGAATCAATGACAATTTCAACAGCTTAACAACGCTTTCCATTTCGAGTACAAAAGACGCTCTTTATCGAGCACTTTGAGTTGGTTTGGAGCCTTCTCAACTTTAAAAGGGACTTTTGGGCTGCGTAAGGGCCTCTTCAGACTGCAGCTGGACTTCCCGCAGCGCAGGACCAGGACTGAATCCTTCCTCATCACAGAGGTGGACTGGGAAAAGCACTTATTTTTTGTACCTTCCATTTCTAACGTGCTTCAAGGCACCCCACCAGCCTTCTTTGGTCATCACCAGAAGATAGTACTTTAAAAATCAGCTTAATTAGTTTTTAATAACTAATTTGGAAGTTATAACAGCAGTAACACTCCCAGACAATATCATCAGAGAATTCGTATTTCCTAGTTAAAGCTTTGCCTTGGGATGGTTAATTCTTTGATGCTATCGTTTCCTCTAAGTAATGAGCACTTTGTAGGAATAAACGGCTTCACTGAGTTGCTCTTGGACCAAAAACAATCTGACAACTAGAAGGAAAGTGCTCAGTAGTTCCACATGTGTTTGAAATGTTATTACTGAGGGTGACATAATACATAAGTTAGCAGCATCAGTGCTCTTTAATTACTTTTAATTACAAAGACTTTAGATTTAATATTAGCTGGAATCAAGTCAGATTGGTTTCCAGAATCACACAGCTCATTGAACTTGAATTTAGCACACACGCTGCCTCTATTTAGACACTGATTTATGTGCTTTTTTCTTAACAAAGCACCTCATTAAACAAAATTCATTGCTCACGTCCTGTCCAAGAGAATGAGCTAACTAACCAGCACATCTTCCTTCTTTCATATCTTTATTTTTAGAGGAAAGAGGCTGCAGAAGAGGCTGCTGATACCAGTGCTTTCCATTACAGCCCCGCAGTTACCAGTATCAGCAGTGTGTGCACAGTGGTGCACGTGTGAGGCAAGTTAAATGCTAAATCAGGAGTGTTTGGTCTTCTCCCATTAACATTTAAACATTCACCATCGCCAGATGCACACACACTGAAAATTATATCTATCATATCTATTATCATATATCATATATACCATATCTATCATATCTATTATATCTATCTATCACATGGTGAAGAAGGTGTAATTCAGGACTCTCTATTTTTTTTACGAGGATGGATGAAGACCAGCATTGCCCATCAACATCCAAGACGGCTCCGCCGACTGGCTCTGCAGCTGATGGGCCATGACAATGAATCACCCGCTGTCCTCCACCGCTCTGTTCTTCATTTGCCGCAGGCCGTCCTTCGAATCAGGCTTAAAACGCATTTCAAGCAGCGCTCGATGGCCCCACCGAAATCAGTGGGCGGCCGGGGGCTGTAGCTGAGAGCAGAATGTGGCGAGCGGTGCAGGCTGCCCGGACCACCTCCACCGGCACGAGAAACCTCCGCTCTCACCCCTTCTCTTTCAAACACGCCGAGCAACGGCAGCACCGTTCGCTCCACGCGTGAACGCTGGGGTGCTTCCATGCAAGGGGTCTGGCCGGTGGGTTTCGGGCAGCCCACGGCCGAGCAGAACACACCGGCAGCGCTGGTCCCCTCCCCACACGGAAACGCAATCGCTCGGTCTCCCACCTGACCCAAGACTGCATCGCCACCTTTTTCAATGTCAGCACCAAGAAAACCCGGTTCGATATTAAGCGCTAACTAGTCAACCTTGCATAGGCACGACCCACTGAGAAAAGATATCACTAACCTCATCTATAGCTTTCTTATAGCTCTGTGGGTAAAGGAAGAATAATCAGCATCAGAGGAAACAGATCGGGACAGGAAAAAGCCAGAGGAAGGGCAAGCAGGTTAGAAATAAAATTAGAATTGTTAGCTCAACGCTGTGGAGTGTAGAGAAGAAAAAACAACATCAACAAAACATTAATACACATTAAAAAAGAGAAGCAGTGGAAATTCATTTCGTTATTAGGCCGACTCTGCAGTTTTAAAATACAAGTGTCAACAGCATTAAACCAGGAGGAAGCACTTCGGATGAGATTTTGCTCGGAATAATAAAACGGGAGCGTACAGAGACCACTACCAGGTCGGTTTTAAGCTGCGAAGGCTGTGGGGGGCCGGTCGCCCAGCCTTCCCGAGCAGAGCACCCCTCCGCCGGGCTGCTGCGGGGGGACATGCAGCGCGGAACACAGCAGTGTGCCATCGGCAACCACCGCGCCCAAGCTAGCAAAGCCCTTAAGCATCTGCCTCACGTGAAAACACAGGCTTAAGTGCTTTCCCCTAGACTTGGGCTCCTGATAAAAACTCATGCGCCCTCTTAAGCATTCAAACCTCCCACGGGCTCTCGCCGTACCACCGCTTTCCAGTCTCTCTGCTGGAGAAGCAATGGTACCAGCCTCTTGCTTGGGGTCCCTGCGGTCGTGCTACCGCACCGAAGGGAAACGCGGCCAAGCCGGCTGGCAACGCTCCCGCGGGAAATAACGTCAGACTCACAGCGGGTCGGCTCGGTCGCGTCACGTCCCTGTTGTCTTCCTGCTTCACCTTGGCGGGCTCGTGGGAGAGCACAGGGGACCCTTCGGGCTTGGCGTTCCCTGGGCGAAAGGCAAGCAGACAGAGCCGGAGTTAAAGTGCTGCTGAAAGCCGTCGCTGGACCCTGTCCCCCAGGACAGTGGGCATGGAGGGGGGCTTCACTGTCCTCCACCCCCATGCCGAGGCACCGGCAGCCCCTTCCCCAGCTATTGGCCCACGAAGCGCAGGAAGACGGCGGTGAAAGCAGACAGGGACATCCCAGGCACAGGACTGGATGCTCTGTAACTAGGTAGGTTTGGGCCAGCTAATAAAGTGTCGCTACATTTCGCTTGTTGTCTCAAGAAATCCTCCTGCTCCTCTCTACTGGACTATATGGGGTGTCCCTCCACACAGCGACAGAAACCATGATCCAGCCCAGCCTCCACTGACAGCCTTCTCGCAGCATGACTGCCCTTTTTTCTACTACAGAAACAAATTCACTCTGCAAAAGAACAGGGCATGTGATAAATCAAAAGCTCCGCAGCATCTGACATTGCTAGGACATTTTTTGTCTCAGGATTCCTCATCAGTAAAAACAAAACCCCACCAAAAAGGACAATTGGAGATAAACTCCTTTTATTGACTGCCTAGAGAAGTGATGATTTCAACAACAGACACGTCGTCTTATGGCCAAGTCATAAAAAATTCAAAGCGTGGAGGCAGCGTTTGTTTCAATGCGCTTCAGCCCTGGGGATTTATACTGCGGGGCTGTGCCACAAATGCAGATGTACGGGCTCCATGTGCTTCAGCAGCTCCTACTGCGATTAAACGGGGGAATGGAATATCTTTAAGAGCGGCTCTGAGATGAGAGGAGACAGTTCAGCTAGGAACATCCACCCAGTGTAAACACGGCTGCCTAGTGAAAACATTTTACAGAAAGCTTCTGATGGGCTCATTCACTCCTCTGCTCCCGTCTCCGGCTTTGCATGAAGATGAAGCTCAAAAAAAAAAAAAAAAAAAAAAATACCCGCCCAAAGTGAAACACAGTCCCAAAGAAACCATCACAGAAGAAGTGAGCTTGGGTGAGTGAACATAGGAAGCGTGCTGGTATTCTTTTTTTTTTTTAACCCTACAGCATCACCCCCACCTCCTTTCGTCTAAGTTACTCGGCACTGCGATGCTTCAGCAGAGCGCGGGAGCAGTGCGTGCTGCCGCGGGCACCCCACATCGGCATCCAGGCACCTCTGCTTGCAAGGAGGCCAGCTGGTCACAGAAGTGCATCATAAATGATGAACCCTTCGATTTTTTTCATTTTTTAAAAAACACACGTGAGCTCACAGACCTCTTGCACTTCCCGCTTATCAAACAAGGCTCAGAAAGCGCGCCCGGTGCTAAGGGACGTTTTCGAGAACCTCACCTCTGACTCTGTTGCGCTCGCTGGAGCCAGCCTGGGAGCCGGGCTGGGACCCGCCCTGGGAGCTGGGCTGCGAGCTGGGAGTGCTGGAGCTGGAGGAGCTGCCGCTGCTGGTCCTCTGCAGCGGGCTCTCCACGATGGGCTCCGTCCTCCTCAGGTCCGGGTTGCTGCGGGAGGACAGAACAGAGAGCACCATCAGATGGTGCTGCACGCACCTCCGGGGTTCAGGTCCTTCCCACCCCACCCGGGACAGCTGGAAGGTGAGGAGACACCTCCTCTGTGGGAGAAGACACGGCTGAGGTCTTCTCTTTGGAAGCTATTGAGCCTGCAAGCCCCACTGAAATCCATGGGAGCTCAACAGGCACTCAGCAACCTCATAGAAGTAAACCACATGTATGACAAAAAATAGGCTAGAGCAGCTTTCTACTTTTATTTTGCTAAATTCAGCAAAAATTAAAAGATTCTTTTCGGCCTATAGATGTGCAACACTGGAGCTACCTGAATTAACCACCGATATTCACCATAAAAGCAGGAATTTGCAAAGAGAAAGAAATATTTCAGCAAAGAAAGGATCTCAAGTTTGCAATAAGGCTGCAGATCACCTTTGCCACTTAATTGCACTTCACAACTCTCATGACTTCACTTTAAACTTGCGTAAGATATCCACTTGTCTTCCTTGATCTCTTTCACCCTGGTGAACCTACATAAATCCAGAACAAAAAGCATCCTTGATGCACGAAGAGTGACTATTCCCTTTCAGAGCATCAGCTGCCTTTGGGAAAATGAATTCTTACTTGGCACTGACAGGATATCAGAAGAGATGTTCAACACAGAATTACGCAATTTGGTTTTAGACAATATTCCTGTGAAGTGAGGACCTTGCCTACCTAACAATGACGGGGTAACGCTGCCGCGTGGCGTAACGCAAAGGCAGGTGGAGGGTGCGCACACGAAGTGCGAGGTGTGCGGCGCATCCACGCCGTGGCCAAACTGCCAGGGCCCACTGCTGTCATGGGGTCATCAGCAGACAGTAACTTTCTGTGTGCAAGGAAATAGCCCCTCGTTTGCTACAGGAGGGTAACAATAAAAGAAAACATATTTTAATAATATTCACATTTATGCATGGGAGGAATCAAGAAGCAACTGGAGAGGTGGTTGAAAAGGAAAACTGGAGAATTGCCACATTACTGTGAGAGAAATGAAATGTGAAACTATTTCACTGTTTATTTAGTTTAACGGACATGGTAGCATCCTAATCATTTCCAATTTTCATCAAACTGAAGGCCTCCAGCTCATGCTGTACAGCTGACATGTCCTTAGCTAAATTAATTCATGAACGGTGTTTGAATAAAATAATACTAATGTATTTACCTGTACCAACCAGAGGCTGAAGGAAACACTGGGCAACCTTCAACTCGAATCCCACAGGCTCCCATTATCCCTTTTACTTTCAATACTATCACTTCCTAGGACCATGCAGTCCAACACCCCTCCACATTTTATATTGTCCTTCAAGCAACAGCTAACTACAAGAACAACGTTTGGAAGAATTCAGAATGCTTCAGCCTTGAGCAATAAAGAGGAACCAACCATGATATGAATGTGTTTTGTCTAATGAAAAAAAAAAAAAAAACTACAAAAAAGATTCCTCCTCCTTCTGCTACCGCTGCCAGTCCCTCCAAGCTGCTGCCCGCTGTATGAGAGTCTGCTGCTGCGTGGCTGGGGCACTGAGCTGGACAGAAAGGCCTATGCCGAAACTGGTGACGGCACATGGCTACGAACACCCCAGCGTTTGCCTTTTGACCTCACCCTGGAAGGACAAGGTGGGAAGAAGAAATCAAGGAGCTCCATCATGTGAGGCTACGTGGAACATGGATTTACCCTGAGATTTGCCTGTCTGGGGTCTAGAGATTTGCCCGCGATGCTCTGCAAACCAGAGACAAGCTCTTGTGTGACTAAGCCATGTTTTTTCCATCCAGCTATGAACAGAGCCTCTCAAGTTCCCCGATGGTTTTACCCATGCCCAGGAATAGCTCTGATGTGGCAGAGGTGGTGCAGCATCCTTCCTCGGGGTGCTACCAGCACGCCCCGCGCCCCGCCATGCCAGAGAGCTGCGTCTGGCTAAGCTAAAGGCCATCCTTCTAGGAAGCCAAAAGGAATTTAATCCTTGATCTGCATCTAAGGAAGACCTCACCAAGCTGCATCAGTGTCTGTCCTCCGGCACATTCCTCTGTCAGTACCTGCGAAAAGCCGCTCTGATGCACAGGAAATGTACGGTACCTATCGCTGAGATCTCCCCACCAGCTTATATGGATCCCCTTGTATGCGAGAAGTGACACGGGGAGACCCAGCACCTAATTCCACTCAAGGGAGCGCCCAAATTCCCCTGCGACCCCAGAGCAGACGCAGTGTGCACCTCCAAACCTGGCAATGCCCAGGACCGTGTTCAGCCCAGGGAGCAGAACCTCCAGCGATCCCAGCGCTGGCAGCCTTTGGTGTCGGTACAGAACACCAACGACCGCAGAAGCTCATCCCAGCGACACGAGAGGCACTGCAAATCTCGCTCTGTTACCAGTCAGCGAAAGCAGGGCCGGACCCCAGCGCCGGGATCACTCCTGCCCGTCCCCCCGGGCGCCCGTCCCCTGCGGCGTCCGTACCTGGCCCGGATGGGCGGGGAGCCCAGCCGCGGCCCCAGGGCGCTGCCGTTGCCTGGGGAGTTCTTCCTCGCCAGAGCAGGGGATATGGAAGTGGTTCGCTGAGGCACCTGGAAAAGAACGGAGACGTTCACTGACCCCACCACCTCCGGCGGCCGTTTGCACAGCCCAGAGTCCTCCCTTCAGCACCGCCCTAAGACTTGATTTACACCAGATCTCCCACCGAGAGATGGACAGTTTTTATGGTAATTACAGAACACAAAGCTCTCGGCTTTTAGAAGGAATTGCCTGACAGAAACGAGCTGCAAAGGTGCGGTCAGGGATGCTCCCGGCAGAGGAGCCCCGAGCAGCACACCGAGCAGCCTGGCTACCACCAAACGGCGCATGTTTTTTTCAAAAATTAACACATGCACACACACACACATAGAATTTAAAACCAACATAACCCAGAAAAGTAATTTTTAAGGTAAAACTCAGACTGAGTGTGTTTCAGAGTTTTTAGCATCTCTCGTTCAGCTTTGACACATGTCGGCACAGAGGTGGTGTTCATCAGCGGCCAGACAAGAGGGCTGATAGTGGGAAGAGCCGGACCGGTCCACCTAACTCTCGCTTTAATCCCTAAGACCTTCAAGTCTTATGAGGGGCGGCTGAGGGAGCTGGGGCTGTTAAGTCTGCAGAAGAGGAGGCTGAGGGGGGACCTTATTGCTCTCTACCACTACCTGAAAGGAGGTTGTAGTGAGGCAGGTGTTGGTCTCTTCTCCCAAGCAACTAGCGATAGGACGAGAGGAAACAGCCTCAGGTTGCATCAGGGGAGGTTTAGATTGGATATTAGGAAAAATTTCTTTAGTGGAAGAGCTGTAAAGCATTGGAACAGGCTGCCCAGGGCAGTGGTGGAGCCACCATCCCTGGAGGGGTTCATAAAATGTGTAGATGTGGCACTTTGGGACATGATTTATTAGGCACGGTGGTGATGGGTTGCCGGTTGGACTTGATCTTAAGAGGTCTTTTCCAACTTATGATTCTACAATTCACTGAGCTTCAGGTGCCAAAACCCCGCTGCCTGTGGGATGGCTCACAGCTATCGCCACAGAGGCACGACCATACTCACCGTGCAATACCTCGCACCAGATAACAGAGCGACCAAGGGCTTGGTGGGATTAGCAAAAAAACGATTAGGCTTTTTTTTTTTTTTTGAGAATAAACACGCAGTTATGTTAGGCAAGATGAAAAGATCTAGGGAGCGAGCGAGCTTTACATTCTGCGGCACCGCTAGCTACAGCGTGTCTCATTAGAAAGCAACCTCCCCTCCGGGCAGGGCACTCTGCAGCCGGGACCTGGGGAGTTTTCTACCTTCCTCTGAAGCATCCAGCCGTAAGCACTGGCAGAAACAAGGCCCCGGACCCCAGAGACAGCCGGCCCTGCCTCACGGGGCAGTCCTTTCGTTCCCACTTACAAACACATCAAACCCACTCTGGGCAGTAAAATGAGATGTCAGAGTCCTTCTGGGTATTACTGCCGACACGACGGCCTTCAACGGGATCCGCTGTTCAGCGCGGTGACCCGTTCCAGAGCTCATGTTCCCTCAGCCGAGGGCGAAAATACTCCGTAATGCCAGAAAACACCTTTTTTCTATGGAGCAGGTGCTGTGGTTGCACCACGCAGTGAATTACTGCAGTTAAGAGACGCCCTTCTCCAAGGGCTCAAGGCAAAAAGCCAACCTTAAACTGCAAGGGGTTTCTCAGAAGTAGGTTGAAACCCGGCGGCCACCCTCAGCAAAGCACACCAGTAACTCCAGGAGCTGCTGGCGTGCTCTTCCTCTTCGGTGGGCGCCGATGTCTCTCATCGCTTGGTGGTGGCAGAAATAGGAACATTATTAACACACGTGACAGACCACTGCAGATCCCTCACACAGGGATGCTTCCCCGGGAGCCAGTAATTTGCTCTTAAACAGGCACCTCGCTTACTTGTTAGTACACAGAAAAACGGCCTCTCAGTCAGGGACAAATACTGCCTTGCTATCATTAATCCATCTGTAATCATTTTTTCTCTGTAAAACCATCCCAGGCTGAAAGCTGATTCACTGTAAGGGGAACTTTAATGGCCAAGTTATAATTCTTCCAAAACGAAGGTGTATAAACAACGCGATCGAAACACTGGTCCAGAAGAATCTTAATTAAAGAGGTACTGCCAGACACTGCCAAAATGTCAACAAAGGTATAAAGCTGCTGGAGCCCTTACAAGTCTTCCGTCAAATATTGATTGCAACTGGAGGCACGGTACTGGATAAAAAGGACCCGACTTATTGAGTATGACAAATCTTATGTTCCTGTAATTCTATTTAAACAGAAGGTTGTTCTTTACCCTCGGGAAAGGAGAAATTAATTTATTTTGGCCTCTGTCCGGGCTCGAGAACTTTCTTTCCTGGAAGGCACTGCTATTTTGCAGCCCCGCGTGTGCACCCGAGAGCAGCTCCCAGCCTCTTGCGCCAGACCTGCCTTGGGAAGCGCAGCCCCCGGGCAGGTCGGTACCCACTGCAGAGCCACGGTGATGCCCGCTCTGCTTTGCCGGGGGTGCGGAGCACCGTGCCGCGAGGACTCTGCTCTGGGCTCGCCTCTTTGACGTGCTGAAAGTGAGGAGCGATAGTGTTACCTTTGGTGGAATGTCTTCCTCCTGCCGTAACCAAGAACTTCGGTCAAACTTTTCAATGCGAGGGGGCAGAGGAGGGTTTTCTGAGGTGGGGTCCGAGTTCTGCCTTGGCATCTCAGTGCGGTGAGAGGTCACCGTCAGAGCCTCCTGAAACCCAGCCAGTCCCTTTGCAGGCTGTTCATGCAGTGACTGAGACCCAGACAAGGAGCTTCCTTGGGATTTCACAGTGACCAGATGTGGAATCTAAGCACCAAGTCAAAACAGAACTATCAGTACAAAATGAAAAAAAAAAAAAAAGGAATCAAAAAAAGGTATTTAAAAATTTGATTAAAAAAAATTTTTTTTGATTAGCACTTTGGATGCACTAAAAAACCCCCTCGCTTTGAGATCAGCACTGCCTTGGCTTCAGGAACTTCTGACCTCCATTGCTTCAATGCAGGACCTATTAAAAATCACGCTCAGCCTTTTAAAATCAGGCAGTGCCAACGCCACGCTCCAGTCCTGAGCGGCCCCGCGCGCGTGCGGTGACGGGGCTCGCGCTGACGGCCCCAGGAAACGATAATAAATAATAACTAAAAAAAAAAATCGTCAGGGATTCTGAGGCATAGATGGTTGAAAAAAAAAAATCTTGAGGCATGAGTTCCTCTAGGTCTAGCTACGCCCTATCCTATAGATCAGCCCTATAGATCTAAGGGTTACGAGGGAAAGGAACACTGACATCTGTTTAGGGAAATCTGAGAAATTCACAAAGTTAAGAGTTTGTGAAATCAGAGCTTCTCCCCAGGACTTATAAATATCCTAAGGGTGGGTGTCAGGAGGACGGGGCCAGACTCTTTTCAGTGGTGCCCAGCAACAGGACAAGGGGCAATGGGCACAAACTGAAGCAGGGGAAGTTCTGTCTGAACATGAGGAAGAACTTCTTCCCTCTGAGGGTGACGGAGCCCTGGCCCAGGCTGCCCAGGGAGGTTGTGGAGTCTCCTTCTCTGGAGATATTCAGCGACGCAGTCCGGGGCAGCCTGCGGTAGGTGACCCTGCTTCGGCAGGGGGTTGGACTAGATGACCCACAGAGGTCCCTTCCAACCCCTGCCATGCTGTGGTGCTGTGACCCTGAGAAGCCGCGTTCCTTTGATACAGCGGGGCTGTAACTTTTACGTGACATTTCCCCATACGTGTCTACGTACACACGTACATGTATCGTGTACACGTGTATGCATGCATACATTTACATGGGTCTCTGGGTTTCAAACAACCTTTTCATTAGTATTTTATTGCCAAACAAAATTCTTTGTAGCTGTTGATAACACAGGTTGTCAAAAAGGTCACTGAAAAGTATCTGGTCAATTGGAGAGACTGCAGTGAAGTGGGGTTTTACCCACTGCTCAGCGCATATAGACCATGTACACTGGGGAAAAAAGAGCTGGATGTTTAAGGGCTTTCCTGCATGCATTTTGTTTAAAGCTGGCATTGTAGTGGTGACCTACAGGTGCACATACCACACGTGGATGGCCCTTGGTGGGCACATTTTCCCATGGAAAGCCCACGTGGACATGGAGCAAAGGCTTTGCACTTCCCCCTGAAATCCCCGCTGGAGTCTGCAGATCCGTGGGAGCAGTTCCAGGGACTGGACCGGGGCCAGCACCGACACTTGGTGCAGAGCTTTCGGTGGCAGAGTACTTACAGAGCTCGTGGCTGGGAGGAATTTTTAGATGGTCATGGTGATCTATGCCCTCTCCAGATGTGTTTGTGACTGATGTCAACGCAATGGAAAACCAAAACAAAACCTTGAATTAAAGCGGCAAAGAAAGCAAAACCTCTTTCTGACGATCCTCAGCATCAAAGCGTCCCGGGTCTGTTGTACCAGGCGCTGTGGTTTTTTTAGACCTTTACATAAACCAGATCCAAAGAGGAACAGAGCAACTGCCGCACTGGACCAGACCAGCAGTTCCTCTCGGTCCTCCAGCTTGTTTCTGGCAGTAACCAGTACGTGATGCTTCAAAGGAAGGTATAAATCAGCGTGATGCTTCTAACACATGGAAGTGACAACAAGAATCCACTCATGAATGTAGACGCTGCTCTTACTGACGAATATACTTAAGGCTGAGAAACCAGGGAGCAAGACACTATTTCCCTTTAATCCGCTCTTTTTCCTGTTACCTTACCAGCACCCCCAGCATCCCGGCTCTGGTAGGTGAGCTTGCCCGGGGAAGCATCATTACCTGTGGGTCCACGGGCCGAAGCAGGGGCGGGGTCCGGGCCGGCTGCACGCCGCTGATGCTGAACGACTCCGACCGAGGTGGCAGGTTGGGGTCAGAGATCCTGTTGGCCACCTTATGGGGCATGGCCGGCGAGCTCTGGCGATTGAGCCGGGAGCGCTCCTCCACCTGCGGCGACAAAAAGCCGTTTCCAGTTGAAAACCAGGGTATGCATATACACACCCAGGAAGCTTTTTTCCCTTTAGGTGTATCATACATATTGTATGGCCACGGAATCCAAGTTACCCAGCAGGCTGTGCAACAAATGCATTTTAAAGACACCGAAAGGACTACCTGTATTTATGCGCATAATTCATTTCTGAATATGAAATGGAAAAAAAAAGGCAACACGCCTCAGAGAGGTGTTTCTAGAAGATGACTCCTGAGAGGCTCTTGCTTCTTCTCGAATGTATCTTTAAGCAAGGGGACCCTTTTTCTTCACCGCTCTAAACACCACGAGGCGTGCTTTTGTTTGATCTGAATAAAAGAATACATATGGCAGCCAGAAAATGGCTGGCTTTGATCTAGATTTAGCAAGTCTGGCACCTTGTCGTGTATGGAAGGGAAAAAACCACTATCACTGATAGAGAAATAACCCCAAAGCCCACCGCTTTCATTTACTCCTGATGGAAATACAGTGGTTTCAGCTAACCCAGGCGTACGTGCCATCTGGGTGCTCCTGCAGTTAGACTGCGTGTATTGATATTCATGCAGCATATGCTATGCAGAATTTATAATACCTCAAGTTCTGACGTGTATTTTCATCTGCGTATCATTAACGTGTTGAATACGCTTTGCATGTCTTGATTCCCCCACGTACAACGTCATGTTAAAAGGCAATCTATGAAACCGGTTTGCTCGGAAAGAACCACAAGCAAATGTGGTTACACATTTACATGACACAAAAGAGCCACTATATTCATAAAAATTAACCTTCTCCTCTTTCAGATACTGAGCAGGAGTCAGAGTAAAAATCAGGTAGCAGATTTGTGTTATGGACTTGTTCCTTTCTAGTTCATGCAGGGCCACCTGGGCCACTGCTATGTCCTAAGAGGCCATCATGACTTCCCCAGGCACTGCCCACCGGCTAGCAGAGGCCGTGCACAGCTCAGTTCAGCGATGCCCATGGGAGAGGATGCAAGGATGGGAAAGAGAGCAGGGCAGGAAGGAGAACTCCCTCTGAACAAGGGAGCAGCAGCACAACCACTGGGGCGCAGGCCCGGTCCAGTACATCTTTAGCAGGCATGGTGTGTTGGGTTGACGGTTGGACTTGGTGATCTTAGGGGTCTTTTCCAACCTTAATGATTCTATGATCTGCTTATCAGCCAAGCCCCGACACGAACGTCAGCAGGCAGAGATGGTGCTGCTGATGAGTCCTCCGGCTGTTTGCAGGTGCTCTGCGGCACGCTGCCAAGCCGTCACTATGGAGGACTTCAAGGCTTGCATGGAGGAGAAGGCAGGAGAGTGATGAAATGGGGATGTCTGTGTACTGGGAAGGAGAAAGGCGCTTGGTGTTCCCACTGCCAGCATCTCCTTGCTAGCACTCTGTTGCACCAGCACAGCAGAGGATGCTCTGGGGACTCTCCACTGTACTCTCTGCAGCCTTACTGACTCCACCATTAAGCAGAGAGGGGGGAAAAAGCAGCAAAACCCTGCAGGAATTCATCATCGCTCCAGTTCCAGCCATCTCTAACCAAACTCAAGATTCCTCTCAAACGGGAAAGATGCTTAGCAGCTTCTGTGCAGGTCCCAGTGGAAGGCTGCAAATGTTTTCACACCTCACTTCAAAGCGAGAGAAGGGTAAAAGCCATGGAGACTGAAGGAGGAGCTGACATGCGCGTTGGCTGCTGCAGAGAACAGCACAGCTCGTGGCGCAGAGCCGAGCCCCTGGGAAGCCCCGAACTGTGGGAAAGCATCGCAGGGATTGGCCACCACGGGGAAAACCTCCTATTAAAGCTGTCCTCTCCTTTATGCATGGTCACGTCCAGCATATACCCGCCCAAACCCGTCCTTCAGCTGACCAAGCTTCTTGGTCATATAGAAGTTAGACCCGGCTATCTGCATGACTTTACTTAGCAAATACGGGTCCGTAACAGAATCACAGCATCATAGAAGATGTCAGTAAGAAGAGTCAGTAACAGAGAGAACTGCTAATTAGAGTACCACTGCCTAGATGCTAACGCCACATTCCTGGCTGGATCATGAGAGGGTCCCAGCACGACGTCCAAAAAGGCCCAGCTAGTCCTCGATCACAAGAAGAAACACACCTGGGTGAACAGGGCAGGTCTGGGACAGCACCCAAGTTATACCCCAAGTCTGCTCCCAGTGGGCAACCCTTCACTCACCAGAAGACGAGTAGAAGGGACAGCAGATGGGGATGCGCATCTCTGCGTGTTGGTGGGACTATTTGATCAGACTGGTTTGTTTAGCACAAAAAAGAAAAATCCTTGACTGTGCTCTGGGGAAGCCATGAAAGGTGCAGAACAGCCCAGTTCCTAACCCAGGGCTTTGTCTTCGCCAACGGGCCAGTCCCTTAGCAAGGGGATGCAGGGACAGAACCTCAATGTGAATGGCCACGGCCTCACCTTTATGCCTTACCCAGCATCTGCGAGGTCTTGGAGTCACCATGCGAAGACAAGCGAGGTGGGAAAATAAGCGCATAAAGGAGAGGCAGGAAAAGTAGAGAGGGGCACAGCTTGAGGATAACTCAGCTGTTGTGATCAAGCTCCTGAGAGAGAAGACTTGAGACCATAGAGCATAAAAACAAGGACAGTATGAGATATCATGCAAAATCCTCGGAAAATATCCCAGTAAGCTCTGCAGAGCCTCCAGAAATTGTAGGCTGAGCACCAGACTTGTCTTTTCCTTGTTCCCAAAGAAAACAAAGTCTCAATATTTCTGTTAAATTAGTATGCATGGGTTGGGTACGGAAATTGCTAAACTATAGCAAGAACCATGGTAGGCTGACTAAGTCTATCTGTCTAGCCAGCAAGGATGGTACTTCAATATCTGCAGCAAAGTAGCTGAATTGTGCAAAAGTGGGACTACGCAGTAGATAAACCAGGGGATGGAGGCAAGAGGAGTAGTTACGGGAAGTTCCCAAGGGTGTTGCGTCAAGGCAGTACCATCAAACTACTGCTCCCAAGACCAGAAAGATGCCACAGTTGCTGCTTTGAGCATTTCGTTAGAAAACAGACAGAGTGAGACAGGCAGAGAATAAACGGTTTGGAGACTTCACTGGTGGAAGCTGGAGATGCACCCCAACAACAGGAAACCTCACCTTCCCTACGATTTCAGCAAAGGGTATGAGGCCGCGTTCTCCTGCTCCTCCTCCCATCATACAGTTCCCAATGCCCTGCTTCCAGTGACTGCTTCGCACCTTTCTCCTTCCCCCCAGTCAAAGAATAAGATTCCTTTCTATATATCTTTGTTGTAGTTTTGAAGACTGTGCCAGAGGTACTTTAGCAATGTTCTAGAGGATTTATTTAAAACCAGGCAATCAAAGGTAGAGTTTACTCCCTTTTTCCTGCCTGCTACCTACTCCAACCACTTCTGCAGATGGAGCAGAGAGACCCAGCTCTGCACAAAGCCACAGGCCCCACCCGGCTGGAAGCCTCTCCTGTCAGAGGTGGCTTGGCACATCTGGAAGGTCTCCTCTGCACACCCACTTACCAAACCTTTTCTTCCACTGGAAGGGCCGGAGAAGGATGCTGCAACTTCACGAAAATATGTTGTCTGGCGCATTGCTACCTAAAGACTCTAGAGACTAAACTGGGATGGAATGAAGGAGAAACCCAAGTATAAAGAGGTGAAAAAAGTTTTTGACACCCACATCTATCAATGTGACGGTTTAGAAAGGCCAAGGAGTGTTCGTATTATCGGCCTTTGCTTAGCAACAGACAGCTGATTGAATTTCTCGAGCATTTGACACTTGCAGGTTTTGTGGGTGCAGCTGAGGGCTGTCAAGTGGAAAGACCAGGAGACAGCTACTTGTTGGATGCCCATCATACCTCTGCCAGGACTAAAGGGTGCCAGACTTCTGGCAGGAGAGCAGTCACCCTGCTTAGTAGGAAGAATAGGCAAGTTATTAAAGGATCCTTCTGCCCAGGAGTAGGGTTACAAAATTAAACCAACTAAACACAAAGAACTTTGGAAAAATTAATAGCAAGAATGGGCACCAGTCCTACTGGAGCCACCACAAAGAGATTAAGGAGAAAGAGTTTGCACATGATCCTGAAACTGCGCTGCAGACAATGCACATCTTGATCTTTTCAAGACTATTCAGCCAGGCAATAATTAATATTCAAGATCTCACAACTGTAACAACAATTCCCTCTTTTTGCTGGAGAGAAAAAGAAAATCAGCAATGTGGCTTGCCTTCCTGGAAATCACAAAAGAAGAGCAGCCCCACGAGATACTGCCCTGAACACGGGAGGAAAACCTGTCTGATCCCTGTTTGACTGTGGGGAATCAGTGCTCAGCAAGGAACCCCGCTACGGCCACCCTCCGCGTTCACCCCGGACCCCCAGCAGACCTGTGGACGGGCCAGGATGGAGCATCGGGAACTCCTGGCATGTCCCCAAGTCCCCAGCTATGGCTGAGCCCCTCCAGCAGGCATCCATCCTCCTCCTTCTCGCACACCATCACAGAAAAACCTCTTTCCTCCGCTCTCTTTGCTTGCACAAACGTGCACGCAGACGCACACACGCTGCATTGAACTGGGAGTGTTTCCAGCACCGCTAATGGCACCTGCTGGAGGCCGACCCAGCAGGGTGCAATCTGCCGCACGTATTTCGGACCGAGCCGTGCGCCCAGCCCCGCGGATGCAGACAAGCCCCACCACGCTCCTCGCTCTCGCCTACCTCCTTGGCCCACGCAGGCTTCTCGCTGGCATTTATCCCTTCTTTGTAATGGTAGAGGGGTTTCTTCTCTGCCGGCCTCTGGTCCTGCCGCTGCTGCTGCTGCTGCTGCTGCAAGGGGGCCCAGGACGCACCGCTCTCGCAGGGCTGCAACCCGCAGATTTGTCTGCCTGGGTGGAAAATGGGGCCCGAGTATAGAATCACAGAATCATAGCATGGTAAGGGTTGGAAGGGACCTGAAAGATCACCTGCTTCCAACCCCCCTGCCATGAGCAGGGACATCTTCCACCAGACCAGGTTCAGAGCTCCATCCAACCTAGCCTTGAACACTGCCAGGGAGGGGGCAGCCACAGCTTCTCTGGGCAACCTGGGCCAGTGCCTCACCACCCTCATGGGGAAGAATTTCTTCCTAATATCTAATCTAAATCTGCCCTCTTTTAGTTTACAGCCATTCCCCCTTGTCCTATCCCTACATGCCCTTGTGAAAAGTATCTGAAAAGCTGTTGTCTGGCAAAGCTCATTGATTTGTAAGGCTCTGGGGCGGAGCTGTAAAGCATCCCGGTGGAGAGGCGGCTGGGAGGGCAGAGCCAGGAAGTTCAGAGCTGGGACCCCGGCGCCAGCACTTGGGGCCAGTGAACTGCCTCGTCTGCCGGGATCGGCACAGACACACCCCGAGACCTCCCCAGGGCTCTGCCGTCCCCTCAGGGGTTACCACTGGCTTTCCTCAGGTCGTTCTGGACAGGAAGAACAAAGAGTCAACCCAACGCGCTGCCATATACCACCGGGTCAGACAAAACTCAGCTGAGGCTGAGTTCCCTGCAGGACCAATTTTTTGCTTGTAGGAAGGGCCAGCAGGAGTAGGGAGGGGATCGTGCCCCTGTACTCGGCACTGGTGAGGCTGCAGCTGGAGTACTGTGTTCAGTTTTGGGCCCCTCACCACAAGAAGGACATTGAGGTGCTGGGGTGTGTCCAGAGAAGGGCAGCGAGGCTGGTGAAGGGTCTGGAGAACAAGTCTGATGAGGAGCGGCTGAGGGAGCTGGGGCTGTTTAGTATGGAGAAGAGGAGGCTGAAGGGGGACCTTATTGCTCTCTACAACTACTTGAAAGGAGGTTGTAGTGAGGTGGGTGTTGGTCTCTTCTCCCAGGTAACTGGTCATACGAGGAGAGGCAATGGCCTCAAGTTGCATCAGGGGAGGTTTAGGTTGAATATTAAGAAAAATTTCTTCACTGAGAGAGTGGTCAGGCATTGGAACAGGCTGCCCAGGGCGGTGGTGGATTCCCCATCCCTGGAGGTGTTCAAAAAACGTGTAGATGTGGCACTTCGGGATATGGCTTAGTAGGCATGGTGGTGTTGGGTTGACGGTTGGACTTGATGATCTTAGAGGTCTTTTCCAACCTATGATTCTGTGATTGATTCTATGAAGGGCTGCACAGCAGAGCCAGCTGTATGGTCTTTCTGAATCCCTACGGCTCTATGAAGTTTAACGAGAAAATAATTTTGAAAGGTCCTTTTCAAAAGACAAGGGCTTGTGTAACAGTTTTTCTTTTCCCTAAATAAAAATAATAGCAAGAGAGAAAAAGAATAATCCCTGTGGATTAAATGAAAACGCAGTAACAGCTACCAGCATTAAAAGCGGTAACTCAAAAACAAATTAAATAAAAATACAGGATATCCAGAATGCAAACAGCATGAGAGGGAATACACAGCGTTCCTGCGAGGAAATGAAAACAAAAGCCATCACTCGGAAGATGAAAACCCGCGTGGCACGGCGGGTTTGCCAGGCGCAGGCACGCGACAGCTCGACCATGCTCCAGCATGCTGCCAGCAGCCTCCGGAATTACGCGGCTGCGAAGAGGGCT